TCTCCGTGTCGCAACTTTAGCCACCGCGAGGTTTCAGCCAAATGCACAATACACTATTATCACAGCCGATTTCCATTTCGTCGGTAAATGAAGTGTTGCTTTTTCCGCTTTCGCGATAAGAACTCACAAATGTTTACGCAGACAATGGTACTCGCGTATTAAGTAATGAAGGCAGAATTCTCGCGTTGGCTTTCATACGTTGGCGAACGCTAAGTGGCTGAGAGTACGTGCGTTAAACAATTGCAGTAAGAAAATCACTACAGCACCACGACTTTCGCCGTGGCGCAACGCAAGCTAAAGTCGCAGGCACGGTATGGAAAAACTAATGAATTCGATTGAACGATTAATTGACGATGAATTGACGATGAATGAATTCAGCATTGACCTGCAAACGCGAGAGTGTGTTACTTCGCGAGACGAGGTAATAATGAATAGTTATTTATATTTCTTGTCTCCTTGTGAGACGGCGACTCTTCAAACGCCTGTCACTTCTCTTCCGCTCTATTCTTGTCTGAACTTTGTCTCAGAAGCAAGGTTGAATTTTAAGAGGAATCATAAGAGCGAGAAGCAGTCATTGTTTCAGCATTTCTTCAAGTACAATCTTGAGAAGACACGAGCAATATTTTCCCGAAACCTATAGCGAGAAATTCGCGTTAGGTCGTTGCAAAAGGTTTGTCAAGTAAAATAGAAAACGAAATTATCCGAACTCTGGAAAAATTAACGATTCTTACGAATAAAAGTAACAACATCAACTCGGCATTTTTTGAGACATCCAACAAGAGCCTCGTATTTTCTTCATTGAGAAAAAAGTACTTGAATATTTGTCTGCGGGATAAAAGTTTGTTTCTCACAGAAGTAAACTTCGTATCTCATGAATGAGAATTTTCGAGTCTTTTTTTTTCTCAGCAATTTTTCCCCATTAAATTTCCTACGGAAAGCGAATGGAGAAGTGAAAAGTCTCTTGCAGAGATCCAAATGGCATTTTTCAGAGATTCATATCCCAATACGGCGTTGTGGGATTAACGCATCGGACGGTTGATAACGAGAGTGCGCAATAATGACGCAATTAATTAACGGCGCAAACAATCCGTACGACGCCGATTAATCCCTTTTACTGAGCGCGCGTACGCAATAAATAATCATCGGATGGACGCACGGCGGCCGCGCGCACACGCCGGGAATCCCCGGTGCGTTCACAAAGGATCGCACACAGGAGGAAAAGTGCAGTCCACCTGCGGACGCGGCGCGTACGCGCGTCGGGGCGTCGCGCGTTACGCGTGTGCGTGTGCGTTCGCGCGAACTGCCACACGGTGAGTCACATACGCGCCGTAAACCGCGAAACAAAGCCTTGTGCTCATTCCCCCCCGTACAATGGAATAATGATATATGATAATGCTAGGCACGCACGCGATTATCGCGGACTTAATTCCCCGCCGATCTGTCTCGCACACACGCTCGCTGGATTTTCATCGGCGACGTCCTCGTCGTCGTCGTCGTCGTCGTCACTTTTACAGCGAGAAAAACGATCGTCCCGGTTTCTCGGCGCGCGTACGTGTAACTGCAGTTGCAGGTGGATGTTTCTGCGCGAGTGTATGCGTGTGTATGTGTGTCTGCGTGCACCTCGACCGACGGATTCACACGCGAGGCGCGCGTGTACGTGGCAGCCGCAGCGGTTTGCAAATTGCAGGCTCCGTCCGAGAGAAATTTCGAGTGCATCTGCAATATTGATCTTGTACAGCGCCGACGGACTCTCACCGTAACTCGCCCATGATTGCTGCATTGTCGAGAGATAATTGTATTCTTTGTAAATGCCTTTCGCAATTATCGGTTATTACGTCTGCGCGTCGCTTGTCCACGCGGAACGGAATATAAATATGTGACAAAATTAAAAACAACATACGTAATACGCGTTATTTTTAATTCCAGTATTTTTCCCGATCGCGCGCTGTTCTACAAAAAAAAGACGAAAAAAAGGGCACGGGAAGATTTTGCGGCAGTTTTTCGCTGCGCTAGTGGATTTTTCTTTTTTATTAGTTATTATCAAATATTATTGCGTAAGAGCGTATTTTTCCACTTGTTTAAATTGCAAGTTGCAAATTCGAGTCCGACAGAAGATCCCTCACTTATTGCGGAGGCTTATTGCGGAGTTTCGCTTTGCATGCTGAGTTTATTTTACGATAGCGCCATAACGCTGCGTTCTGGCTGTTACGTTATTGCGAAACTGCGCTCTACCACGCTGATTAGCCACAATTCTCCAATTTCCACATTCCCGATTCGCCGGTTATTACGCGTCGGTGTGAATAGACGTTGAAAAGTCGATGATCAGCCCGTTTCATCTTCTTTGTTACCCACGCTATACCCTTACGGCAATAAGATAATCATCTCCGATTCTTTCACGATGAGTTCGCGCGTTTGCGCGCTTATACGTCGCGCGTCTCCTAATCCTGATCGGTAAAATATCGAACGGACATATTTGTCGTCGTTTAGATAAGAGTGGTTAACTCGATTACCGTCTAATTAACCGACCTTGCCTCGAAAAATGTGCTCAGCGGTCTCGCAATTATGCGAATTCATGGAAGTCGCGCGGAAAAAACCGCATGTTTTATCGCTGATTAAGCAGCCGTCATCGTTTTTCTGCTACGACACGATGTCACGGAAAACGTGATATTTGTGTCAATGACGTGAGCAGCACGCGTTACACTTTCAGACTAAACAAGCATACTCGAGAATTGCAATTCGCGAGAATTATTATTCTGTATTCGCATTTCTTAGAGCGTGATTTTTCATTCGAGAGGTAGAACGACCACTGAGTCACTCGAATTTGAGCGGCTTTTCATTCATAAGGGAGACCAGGGGTAATTTCACCAGGGGTAGGTTGTAACGATGTTTCTGTTTCATAAAGAAACAGAATAATGCTTCAAAGACAAAGAACCTTCGTCTCATGACAAAGTGTTGGTTTTTTTCTGCTAGTTGTCTGGCTGAGATAACTAGGAATATTAATCTGATTGAATTGTTACTTCTAACCCTGATCTCTCTATTGCAGAATAAATTCTCCGCTTTGAACCGTCGAATGAATATTTTTACTCGGAACTCTAAAGAGAGTGAATCTTCTGTGTCCCACGGAAAAATAATCGCTCTGATCAAATGAAACATTCACTCTCTCACGATTCCATGTCACTCGTTTAGAGCGAAATTTTACTTTGGGAAGTACAGATCACCTTTAATCCTCTCGCGATTTGGTCGCAGTTCTAAGATACACATTGAAACACTCAGTGTGGAGTCAGAATCCACTCTAAGCTTGAGTGAAACACCTGCGCGATTTCGAGTGGCGGTATTTTCCCTACCGCTTCGAGTGAAAATACCTCCAATTCACTCGTTTTGAGTGAGCTTGCACTTCGACAAATTGATGGGATATGAATCGCGAAAGGATAAGGCGCGTTGCAAAATTGGCGATTTTTCGCTCTCGGCCGAGCGAGACGTTCGCTGCGCGAGGACTCGCCGGTCTGGCATTTCAATGGCGAGGGTCAGCCGATCCGGCGGGATTACATAACACGTATATGGGGAAATACTTCGGTAGCGACGGGGTGTCGAGGAATGTGCGAGCTAAGAAACTCACAGGAGTTAAACTCTCAATAGGTGAAAGTCAGCTCTTTCAGGCGTGGGCCGCCGGCACGAGCTGAGCGCGCCCACGTTGTGTTGCCTGCTCGGTGTCATTCACTTCTTGCGCGCTTGGCCGCTCATTAACGTCTCGATAGTGGGCTCTCGTTACATACCGATCCAATTCGTTACATCGCATGATTGAGTAATTGAGCCGCTGTTATAATATATGAATGTATGTATGTATAAGAGAACAATTATTAACAGCTTATCACCCGCGACTCGTTACCGTTACAATTAATTACGGAGACAGCTCGGAATACTCTCAGCTATTCTTCAGGTGAAACAGATTTTTTTAGTAAATCAAACAAGAGTAAATAGGCAACTAAGAGTTGACGCAGAATGTTAGACGCGAAATTAAATCTTTTAAAATAAATGTAGCATAATTGAGTAATTTAGTAAATTGTATAGCTTATGCTACATTTATTAAGAAATTTTTTATTTCCCGGTAAATATCTTGTGCCGGCTCTTAATTGCTTATTTATTCTTTGATTATATATCTCAAGGTCCTTACATAATTTTTATTTGGTGCAGAGAACGAGAACAAATTTTTTGCGATGAAACGAAGCTGTTCTGATTCAAGGATATTTTGGAATATTTACATTCACGCGATTACGTGTCTCTGTGTCTCTCTCTATGTCTTGTCGCGATTATCTTATCGTACGTTTTTTTATTACCAGTTGTTAAGGATAAATTATGCAACGTCGAGGTAGATTAAGGATGATCATTAATGGACGAATTTATTACATGACATTTTTCGTAGAATACTCGTATGATAAACATATGATTCATTACACAGCTTATATCACATCAATATTTCAATGATATGCATCGCAAATAACGGTGATATCAATGATTACCGGGATTCTGTGTGGTGTGGGACAGGCAGGGACGTCGTAAGGAACGTCCAATAACAGTCGTTCGGTATCCTTGCCGATGAGGAATCGTCGGCAGGATCAGTGATGTATGTGCGTCGTATAAAATTACACGCGATCGCTCATATAAATAAAGATAGTTATCGTTTTCACAACTCCCATTTGTCGATTATAAATGCAATCGTTGAAGTGGAAATTTATGTAGCACTGTTACGACATCACGCCCGATGATTACACGCGACCATTGTGGATAAGACGCGACAAGTGGCGGCGCGGACATGTCCGACAAATATTCCCGTTTTCACGTCATACCAGATAAATTCGACACCGACGCGGACGGCCGATTAAATAGCCGCGTGGTGTCTGCGTTGAAACAAGTGCGTCGCGAGTCTCGTCTGAATATTTTCCGATTATGTGTCTGCGATTATTCCCCGCCAAAGAGTCCGCAATTGATAAAGCGGTAATTCGCATGCCGTCGCGCCGATGTCTCTGTGCAACAAAGCTAATTGTAAATCCGCTAAGAGCAACTCGGTCGACGTGGAAGTGCACGACGCGCATATCGGCAAACGTAAATCAATAATTAATATAAAGCAAAATTAATAAAAAGAAAATATAATCCATATAAGACCGAGAAGTAATAATAAATTTAATCATCAAACCGCGAATATATACAGACAAGTGTATAATTTAATATTCACATCGTCATGAATACCAATTAATATGTCAGCGTAAAATAATAACTACCCGCGGCATTTTATTTTAATGCCGACCCGAATTGGAGTCAATTTCGCCTCGCTCGAAATGTCGACGAGGTCATTATTATTATCACCGCGACTTCCTGATCTGTCATATTTCGCAGTTAAGTCTATTAGAAATCTCGGGACAGTCGAAGAGCGTCTCGGCCATTAATTTCTTTAAAATGACCGAGGCTCGTATTAGCAGTCGTCGCTCGAAACTCGCCTCTCACGCTCAGATCGGAATTTAAAGTTGGATCAGAATTTTCTTGGTTCTATATAATATATATGACATTATACTGACATTATAGTGACATTATACTTGTAATTATGATTTAATTGGAAAATTCAGAACTCCACATTGAAATCAGAGTATCTCATTTGTGAGGCAAGTTTCAGAGGTGACGACCATTAATACAGGCCCCCAAGACTAATTGGACATTCTCGCTGAGAACGAGTGGGCTCTAGATTGACCGGGAAACCCACTCAAGTAAGGAATGACGCGACAGTGACGGAAGAAATTGCATGTTAATACCACATAGTGTGTACACAACATTTGCATTTGTTCACTGAGCGTCTTCGGGGCGCGCCTTTTCCGTTATAGAAATGTCGAGGACGTTGCTATTCCTGACTATCGGCGTGCTCGCGAAGGTGTTCGGATTACCCAACGGAGCACCACCGGAGACATGCTTGCATCTGACGCCACGCCACCCCGGCAGCTCCCTCCAGTCGTCGTATCCGCCTTATCAGGTGCTACCCGCAGCCGGACAAGGCAGGATCCGACTGATCCTCGGGAGTCCCCAGGGCCTCGCGTACGAGGGCTTCATGATATTCGCCAGAGACATCGACACCGGGGAATACGTAGGCGAATTCGCGAACCTGCCCGATTCCGCGAAGATCGTCGAGTGCACGCAGGGCGTAAAGGTAAAGATCTCCCGCTCTCCGGTTATTCCTCCGGTCTCGTCTCTCATCTTTAAAACGTGATTAGTTTCGTGGAGTAGCGTTTGTAAGGTTTCGCAAAATAAAAAGATCGACCATCTTCGCGCGCAAAGAAACGGATAGTTTGCCGGTGAAAAGGTGGTTTAACTCGCCCTCTGAAGAATTTCGAGTCTTTGCCGTTTAAGACGACCTCAAGTTTCAGATGAATTTTCCCAACTTCTCTCGCGGGGAGAAATGGGATCGCCGAACTCACTCGACGTGTCGGAAGATCCTGCGGCGAGATCTTGGTCGCGAATCGCGCTCGAGACGTCGATCGCGCTCTGCGCGTCGTACGCACGAATTCGCGCGAATACGCCGATACACGTGACGATACGGCGATAATGTGGATCGTTTTTACGCGAAGAACTATTCCTCATCGACGAGGAATTCTCTGAAAACGAATCATCCGCCAAGTATCTTTCACAGGCAACGTAATGACGCGCAATTTCTTATCCAACGATACTTTTCCTCCCGCTCGTGTCTAGAATGGCGTGACTCATGTGAATACCAGCAAGAAGCAGAATCTTGAGTTTGATTGGGAGGCTCCGGTTGGTTACGAGGGTACTATTATCTTCAAGTAAGTATCGTCATGTAACAATGATGACTCGTTATGGGAATCATCGCGATTAAGCCAACTCGCGCTGAGGGAAGCGCGAGTGTTGAATGAATGGATACCGCGACTGGAATTCCTTCGCTCTACTGTCACGTTCTCTTATATAGAAACGAATTTCCTGACGCGAACTTTTGTATTTGGGTCAGTTTGCATTTCGAGCGTCGCGATCGTACACTTCGCGCCGCTAATTTCCAGTAAAAGAAATTCATGTCGTGGACAGCGAAAATTCTCGAGTTGGGTGATTCCAGCTCTTCTACAGTGTTACACTTAAACGAATTAATTATCTGCGTCGCGCGTTTTGATATTTCTTACCTTGGGACCGCGTGAGAGTAGACTGCTTGTTATTCCCGTGAGCGGTCGTGGAGAGAGATCGCAAAGTTTCGGAACACCTGTAAAATTCCGAAACAAGAAACGTCAGTGTCTAGAAACAGCTTAATTGTTGAGTCACGATTCCCGCGACTGATCTCAAGTCACGCACACTCGTTCACTCTCTCTAGCACGCGCGCGCACACACACGCGCGCTCAAAAACACATCGGCGCGATGTGTGTGTTACACTTATGAATCACAATTAGGTATTTACCGTACGCGCGGTTCGCGGTTCATATTTGGAATTCGAGACGGTCGCGCGGGCATAACGGTGCGAGAAACGCGCGAGGCATTCCTTATGAACTTTTACTCGTAATAATCTATACGGAATTGCTAATGTACGTTTAACATACAGTTATACCAAGCTGCACCCTTTTTCTCCGCTCTAGTCTACTCCCGCCGTTCCTCTCCCCTATCCCGGACACGGTATTGTGTTCCCTCAAACGTGCAAATTCCGCACCGCGGGACGCCGCGGGCCGCCGACACTTTTGACCCCCCGCGATTGTTTCTTTCCGCAGCTCCACCTTCGCTCAGGATTACAGCACGTACTGGGTCGGTGTGGAGTCGCCTCGAGTCACCGTTCTTAAACGATCTATCGACGTGTTGACCACACCTACGCCCATCACCACCTACAGGACCACCACACCGCCGTACCACATCCAGACCGTCGATTATACGGTAAGTATTTCCCATCGCTCCCTCGCCTCGTTGTACGACGTGCATAAACGCGGACGTGGCGGTTTGCAGCGCGTTAGACGATGTAAGCAGCCCGTAAGTCTCGGGAGAGGTGCGGCGAATATCGTGGCTCGTGGGACGCCCGGGCTGGTGCGGGCACAAAGGGCACTCGTTGATTATGTAGTGTACAAAGAGCACGCCGGATTCGTTGAAAAAGTCCGTCCTCACGGAATTTGATTAGCCGCGCGGCGCGGGGCCTCGCGCGCCGGATATCCCGTATCTTTACTCGGAGAAGGCTTCCTTCCGGACGGATCCTTTAACGAGCGCGAAGCTAACTTTTTATCAGTGATGGATCGCGTTACGTGTAGGGAATCTCCAACCTTTAGCCTTCGTACATGCGCACAAGCGTACACATACGCGCGCGCCTATACATATCCGATGTGTAACCCCTATCAAATTTTTCCTGAAAGATAATAACTCGCCTCTTTCGATTAATTGCACCGCCGCACTTCGTGCCCCGCGGATTAAAAGCGACATCAATGTTAAAATGCATTTCATTTCTCATTTGAACGTTGTTACGGCGATACTCTAATTAATGAAAACTGTCGGCCAAGTACGTTACACTCGCGAGTTAAATCAAGGATTACACCCATCGTTGTTATTGAATGAGAATTAAAATAGCGCAGTTTGATAAATCTCCGTTTCGCAGTTCTCTGCGTAATTCAAATTTAATTAAAATTTACCTATATTCTCATTAAGTGACTACACTCGGTAAATATCAATTATGACGTGGCACGGGCGAGTGGTAAAAATACGGCGAGTTTTAAAACGCGTACGCCACTCTTCACTGCGGTCTAACGAAATGCTCCAATTTTTTTTTTCAAGTCACATTCGAATCGTGGCAACTTATTCGGAGGAGAATATGTTCAGCCGATAAATATCCTGTGGAAAATGACGATATTTTAAACTATCTTATTGCACTTTTTCCAAACTACCTTATTGCACTCTCTCTTTTTTCAGACATTTTTAATAAAATTTTAAAGGGATTTTATCATAAAGAAAATGGATCTACAATATTAAAATCCGACCATTTGTTCTCAATAATTTCGCCAAACGTGAAAAAATATCTATTTTTCTACAGCCTGTATTCTTAACAAACAAAATTTCTTGCTAATTGTGACACAATTTTTTTACTCTTTGCTAACAAGGAATCAATGTGTAAACATTCACCTATTTTTATTTTATTGACGGTAAACAATATTATTTCTTTTAAATCGCTGATTCACCAACATAAAATTCCAATTAATTTTAAAACTTGACACAATGGAGTAACTTGGCTAGCGACATTATTCTTCGTGAACAAAATCTACGGGACACCTATTGCGATTAAAGTTACGCGACAACAAATTTCTTTTGTCGATGTGTGTTGTTAACCAATTTTATGTCTGCGACAATTTTTAAAAACTGTCTATCATACACACACATACACATGCGCGCGCGCGGGTTTAAAGTATCCTCGACCGATTGACTAGTTAAATGCGACTGAAGCTTCATTTTTTCATGATAGATACATACACATACTACTATAATTGAAACCAAGTGCGTCCGAATATGTGTGGCTGTTCGTTCTTGCGTCTCTCCTAGTTTAAATGGAAATAACGAAGGTCCCAATTAACGCGCGAGAGGAAAAAATATTTCGAACACTTCGCATCGCGTAACGCGCTCTCTCGTAGAAAGTAAAAAAGAAAATAGAGAGAAAGAACATTCTCGCGATGCATGTAGAGGAGGCGAAAGAGAGGCGAATATATCGGCGCGTGACGCGCGGATGCATGAATTATGCATCTTTATATGTGCACGCGCACAGTCCTAACATGTGCAAACGCACGGCGCAACACGCGACCGCGACCAACGTTCTGGAATTTATGCTTTATGTACTTTCACCGTTCACTTCCGTGATCGTTCGATTTCGTGTCGCGGATTTTTCACGGCGCGCATTGTGTTGCCCGCCGCCGCGCGTACGAGTTTCATCTTTATTGCGCGATCTCCGTGCGCCGCGGATACTTCGTCGCGTCGGATTCGCGCAAACCAGCGTCACACAGTTCCCGTGTGTGTGTCCGTGTATATTATTTATTTAAATTATTTATTTAAATCTTGCCGCGCGCAGAGTAATCAGGGATTCGCGGCGAGACGCGGCCTGGTAATAACTGCAACTCACACACAAAACTTTCCGCGCGTTTGTGCATAGATCGAGAATTATAAATGCATAGGTTTCATTTGCATTTTGCGAACCTTCGTAAACAAGATGATCGATAAGCGGCGCGACCCTCGGCTTCGTTTCTTCCGCGGTGCCGCCGCAAATCGTCGCGAAACCTCTCTGCTAAGATTAACCGTGACCAGCCGCTGTTTTCGCGGGTGAATTAAATGATCCCGCGCGATTCTCGCAAATAATTGTATCTTGCCGCGCGGACGCGAGTGGCCTCTCCTTGAAAACGGCCCTCGATCACGATAAAAAGCGTAAAAGTACACCAAAGAGCGGTAATGGCGAACGCGATCGCCGAAGTGTGAACGCGCGATTCCACCGAGCGTGTCTAAGTTGAAGGCTGGTCGTCAAACTTCTCTTTCTCCCTCGCCTCGGATTTCCTTTTCGTTCTCGATTGTGAGCTGCGAACAAGCCCGCGAATTGTCGCAGCCGATTTGCTCGGCGAGGCCCTCTTATTGTGATTTCTCAGTGACGCGAATGTACCAACGCGGTACCTTGGCTTCTTTCTTTCTCTCTCGACAATTGTGATGAAACACATTCAGCCCAGATACCGTTTATCTATCGTAGACATTCAAAGTTTTATTCAGGTGTCCCAAATCGAGATTTACGACGGTAGAGATAATCTCGTTATATTGTTCCAAGCTACATGGAGAGAATATTATAGCTTTTTCTTTATATAAATTTTTGTGAATTTTATATGTTTCTAGCAGTGCAGAAATGTCAGTGAGATCCATCTCGAGAGATATAATAAATTTCGCTAGAAACACAGTAGACTTTTTAATAACACATTTCAGTTTCTACACTGAAAAGAAAAATTTGGTCGGATAAACTAAATTCGAGCAAATCCCTCGTGAAATATAAATAGAAATTGCCAGGTATTCTATTTAAACAGAAATCTTGATAATTTATTCTGAATTTTGACAACTTCAATCACAGGATAGCTGAAAATTGGTTAATTCGATCAAACTTTTATTCCGTGTAAACTATAAGTGTCACATATGAGACGAAGGGGATAATAAATATTACTGCAGAATATCGATCTATTCCTCAGCTACAAAATTCTATGATAATTTTTTTAAAGATTTTCTATAATATTCTCTCTCTTGCACAAACCCCCTGCTTTTAGTCGTTGAATCGCGTCGAATTTTCCCCGCGTATAAATATCCCCTACGGTAATAAGCGAGCAAATCCCGACGAGTGCGCGAAGCACTTTCCGCGGCTGACTTCCACCTGCCGTCATTCGATTTCGATTGGGACGCGGAAGGATGTTGCGCGATCATCCCGCGCGGCGGGATGAACGGCTACCGGTCCGAGATCACCGCGTCATCCCCCAGATGTGCGTTCTCGTTTGTTGCAGACGAAGGTCGAGGAGGATCCGTTCTACACGGACTGCAGCAGCACGAAGAATTGCTTCGGCGCACCTGCCGGCTGCGTGAAAAGCAAGGACTGCATCGCCGCGGTGGCCGTGATCGTGCAGGGCGACCAATATATATTTGAGCTGCAGGCGCAGAGAAACGCGAGATACGTCGCCGTCGGCCTGTCGGACGACAAGAATATGGTAATTGCCAGACGTGCCGAAGTATCCCGGTCGGGCTTTTTGCCCGGGACTGCCGGGCGCGATTTAAGCGGAAACTTGCATAATCCCTGCGGAAGTATTTTATTCAGCGCGGCGAGAAGGTACTTGCTGCGCCGTGTGCGTTTTTCCGCGTTTCCCCGTCTCTTCTCTCGAAATCTCTGTTATTCCGTCCTAGTTTCTGAAGGGGGAAGAGCGTCGCTCCTCTCTGCGAGATGATTGCGCGAGGGCTTCCCGAGAAATTAATAACCCTTTTTCTCTAAGCCTCTCAGAGAGATTCTTCCCTGTTGTTGTGCCGCGAGATCACTGCCTTCTCGACGCGCGCGCGTCCGCTTAAATAACTTCTTCCTCGATCCGCCGCGCTTGATTGAGCAAACAGTGTGCAAAACGGTTTCCATTAAGACTCTTTGAGACATGTTAATGGGCCGAGAAAAGAACAATGCGTGCGCAACGAGCGCGGTTGCGATATAATTCGGCGGTTTCGACATGGCTTCTGTGTCGCGATCTCTAATTACTCGAGGATTACGGATTAAAATGTAATCATTAGGCAAACGCAATCGGGGCGCATTCTTTGTTACGTAGATTGGCTTACATAACGCCCGCGGACCGTGCAATATTTATCTGACAATCAATGCGGCGCTGCATTATAGTATAGCGAACGACGTTACGTTTGCTCCGTGCAATCAATTACGCGCGTAATTCGCGTGATTAATGATTAACAGTTAAGTTGTAGTAATACTGCGAAACGTGGTGTGTGCAGGGTGACGACAGCGTAGTCGAGTGCACGAACGAGGGTGGCGAAATTGCGTTACACATGTCTTGGAATTCCGGAAAGCGTAATACGCGCCATATGACGGTGAGTATCGTTTACTATGCCGTGCCGCGCATCGTCTTCGTGACGATGCGCCTTTGCGCTAATTAATTCGCTCTGTGCGGGAACGAGTCTGGCCCATTAAATCCCAATTATTACGCTCACCGTAGAGCCGGCAGTGTCGCTCCTGTCGCGATAATACACTAAATCTTTCAGCTGCGCAAATAATTGCCGTGGCGCGCATAAGAGCCAAAGAGGGCGAAGGGGTCTATTTTTGCCTTCTCGCTCGCGGGCTCAACAAACCGCCTCGTTAACCGATTGACCCACAATTTTTTACCGCACCACTCGTGCGGCGGAAGAGACGATTACGTTAGCGTGAAAAAATACGGCTCGTTAAACGTCGAGACGCGCAGGTACAAAATTTCCCATTTCCGCAGCTTGTCGGGCATATATATGCGTCGTGTTAATTTGATTCGCGAATATTTCACGTTCGCGTCTCCTTGAGACTTTCAGGAAATTTGGAAAAAATTTCCGAAATAGGAACGAATATTTCGCAAACGCCGGTCCTTGATTTCGAGTGAATTCTCATTTGAAGAATCCTTATTATGAGAGTCACTTCCTTTCCGTTTAACGTTGAAAATTGAGAGATTGCGAAGAGCAAAGGCACATTTGTTGAGATTCGTGGTGTGCAAAAGGAAACCGAAGATAGTGATTTCCGTTTTCTCTTTCATCTCCGAGTAACCTCCACGTCGCCAGATTCGTCTGATGACCTTGCCTCTATTCATAATTTCGCCCACAGCCGGAAGGTGCGGTCCAGCTTGAGTCCGGAACGGCGAAAGATGACGTGATCTACTGCAAGTTTCGGCGGGATAAGCTCACCGCTGTTCAGGGACGAACGTATGACCTCGTCAACACTCCGTACCATCTCCTTGTGGTTGCCGGCACGAAACTCAGATGTACGTACTGCGGGCCGAGAATAAGCGATGTTCTTACTGTGCGTTTAGTCGAGATTATCGCGAATTGCTAAGCCGCGAGAACGGATTTTATACGGGCGCTCGGCCCGTCGCGATGATGTCAGATTCACGGCACTGCGCCGTTTCGCCGCCGCGTCGCTCTTCTCCTCTCCGGACGGATAAAGACAGAAGAAATCTTAACAAGTTCGCGAAGGTAATGGGAAGTTTGCTTCTTGCACGCTCCCGTGTCGAGAGAGCAAAGTGCGTAAAAACTTGGCAACTTTCTTTGCCGGGAAGCTTGAGATAGCTGCAAATTTGATAGCTTCCTTACGTGCGCGCCGCTTAAACGCAGACGCGAAGCGTGAATGAAACATGGATTCGTATCGACCCGCTCGCCTTGGGGATTTTTATCGTCCTATTGCGTTTAATTAAAGTTACAATGTGACACGCGCGCACCTGGGAGAAGTACGCTTTCTCCTACTCGCCGCGCGAAAGCTGCACTCGCGTATATACATACACACGTCGTGTGAATTGCATCGTGTGTAATTTTGCTTTTCGGCGTTTAGCGAACGGCGTCGACTTTCACGACCTCGTCTATCTCGGGACCAGCGTCTCCAAGAAGCTGTCCGACGTTGGGGAATGGACCGCGGCCAGCGACATACTGATTCGCGTTCACGGCGCGCTCATGTTGGCCTCGTGGATCGGCACGGCCTCCATCGGGATGCTGCTCGCGCGATATTACAGGCAGACGTGGGTCAATTCCCAGCTGTGTGGAAAGGACCACTGGTTCGCCGTAAGTAGCGCGCGATTTCCCGGGCAATCGCGCGCGGATATTCCGTTCGCGGCGGCTGACCCCTCGATGTTCCTTCCAAATTATTCAGCTATTTTCGTTCCTCAATTTCCCTCGCTGGAAATCAAGAAACGAAAATGCTACGACGAAAATGCAAACACGATTGAACAATTCATCCCTGTGCAACGCGATCTTCCGGCGGACAAAATCGACGAGTCCCTTTAATTATTGCGACCTCGTCGGATCGCGAGCCAAATTCTTAACTAAAAACTATCCTCGGAAATTCGAATGTTTTCTTTTATTCGCCTCGCCAGAAAGCTTGAGACTTCTTTACAGTCTACTTTGGTCGTTTAATTCAGATCTTTGCGCGACTCTCATGACATGTAGCCTATAATAATAGACTATAAAAGGATCGTGTGTTACTTTGAAATTTATCAATTACTTTCCACCCGTTCTCACGGGACATCAATCAGACAGACAGCGTGAAATGAAGACGCGATCACTAATTCACTTTCTCGTCGTCGCGAAACTCTTCGGTTTCGCGCTCGTGGCAAACCGCCGTCCATCAATCTCGCGATAATCTGGCAGCGACTCGTCTTCAATTTGTTTCTTCGTTTTGCCAGGGGATTTCTGGTTAATTGCTGTTACTCTCTTATTCTCGTATCGTTACCCGCGCGACTGAACCGGCCATAGCGGCGTGAATTTCCGCCGCATTGTTCGGGCACCGACACCGTCAGCGAAATGCTGAAACTCGCGTTAATTCCCTGACGCTCAAAGTACACATCATTAACGTTCGAATCGCGCGAAAAGGAAAGCGAGATCCTCGGCGCCTTTCTCGGCGCTCCTTTCGCTGTAATGAAATCCTATCGATTTTTCCTTCCCTCCCAAAGTGGCACAGGTTCTTCATGGTGCTTACCTGGTCGATGACGATCGCGGCCTTCGTCATAATATTCGTGGAGCTGGGCACATGGAGCAGCGCGACGATACACGCCTCTGTCGGCCTGGCCACTACAATTCTGTGCTTTATTCAGCCCTTCATGGCGGCTATGAGACCGCATCCCGGCGCACCACGAAGAGCTCTTTTCAATTGGGTCCACTGGTTCGTCGGTAACGTGGCGAAAATCTGCGGCCGTGAGTTGAATTGTTCGATAGAGCTTTCCACGCTGCACTCGCCATTATTTCCGACTTTTTCTTATTTTCACTTCCGTGCGGCATTTGGTTGCGCTTGACATAACGATGAAATTGCGGCAACAAAAGGATGGCTTTCAATTATTTTGATCACATGCCATTAAATCGTACGAAGTAATTCTACTAAGTATATGTGTCGATATTTGTCGTATTTTTCTTTATCATAACACGAGCTTAAGAAATTTGTTCTTAATTTATATAGCATGTAAGTGCAACGACGCATGAAATAATTTTCGGAAATTTTCTCTAGTAATCGCGATCTTCTTCGCGGTGCGACTGAACAAGGCCAGACTTCCAGATTGGGTTGATTGGGTTCTTACCGCATTCGTGGTATTCCACGTTCTGATTCACCTCATTCTTACGGTAAGAACTTTTATTTGCTAAATCCGAGTATGAAATCCAGGCAATATCTCGGCAAGTGGAAGTGGAAAAAATTGCGAGAATCGGACCGAGCTATTTACTAATGCAAACCAACCGTCAGAATTTGGCGACGGTGGAGCCGAGTCGATTAACAAATTCAAATTTTCACATTTCTCGCCAAAATTACCCGGGCTTCCTTCGTGAGAAATGGAAATTGTTCGATGTCAAGCGGAACTCAGCGACAAACCGAATAATCGCGACATGTTCAACGGAATTAGCTTCGGCACTGTCGAGTAACGGTCGAGTACGTCGCTGCGAATGCAGTTTTCTAATTAGAATTAAGATAGCTGACGGTTTCACGGGTTTACAGTTCCTCGGATGCGCCTCTGACAGACAAGCCAGTCAGAGAGTGAATTCATTCCCAATGAAAGACATGCATTCTCGTGGATCAATGGTGCACCCGGATGCAAGGCGAGACGCCCCGGTAAGATTTTCTGAGATGAGAGTGACGTGGTCGGGCAATTTTATCGCGCGCGTCAGTTCGCCGTGAGAAGTTAAAATAAGACAGAAACGGAAAAATGAACGCCAACACAGCGTTAACAATAGTCGCTCGTTTTCGTCGGTGACTTTGCGAATGTCTTCCGTGTGATCTCGTAAAAAAAAGGAGCAAGAAAATAGAAGATTCTGTCTGTGCTGTAAAGAGAATTTTGCATTATTTTACCCGAGCTATTTCAGTTATTTTTTTTTTATTTCACTAGCGACGTAGCAACACGTTTTTTTTTTCTATACCACATGATCCGAAATATCCAATGGTATCTGCTGAGAGTTCGAGCTTCGCAAAATTGATCAGAAAAATTCGCAGGAATTCATAAATAAATAAAGATCGTGTTACGCGCGGGCTTGCGTGCGTGGATAATAACCAAAAATAAATCGGAAACTGTCCGACGCACATGCGTGTGCACGTACACATCTGATATCGGCGCCGAGAGGGAGAGAGAGAATCGGTCGTTTTCGGAGCGCGTGCGGCGCGCGCTCCGGAAAATAATCCGGTGCGTACAAACAAATATCGGCGCGCAAACAAAATCTCATTGAATATTTCCACCCGACAGCACTCCGGCATGCGGAAGTTCATTTTCGCTGTGTACTTTGTGGTTGTCGCGGCGTTCGTCGCGGCCCTCGTGGTGATCACCGTGTTAGCACCTATTGAGGAGACGTGGGCCACCTTCACCAACACCATCTCGAATTACTGAGGTCGCTAATCAACGTCGCGGCGGTGGCACACACAGACACACGCGCTCACACGGTCGTGCGCGTGTCATCGCGCGACACGTCGCAGCGCGAAGGAAGCTCTCGAGCGCGGAGAACGCGGCCACGCGGCGAGTTTGTCACGAGCCGAACGTTGTGTTCACGGGTAACCTCCCGTATGCAAATTGCTGCGAAGAATGCGCAAATCTACGCGCGAGGATGCAAATGGGACCACGGCAGCGCGCACACGAGAACGAGAACGAAAGGATTGGCGGCGCTGATTGTTTTTACTCTTCTTCTCTCTCCTCTTCTCTCTCTCTCTCTCTCTCTCTCTCTCTCTCTCTCTCTCTTTCTCTTTCGCATTTAGACGTTCACATTATTGTCTGTTCTTGATTATATTTGATAATTAGATGTAGGTTTCTTTGTACACACACGTTCCTCATTCATTCAGAGGAGGCTAAATCCACGGTTGTATGCGTGTTTTCCTGCACGTTCGTCCTGTGCGATTATACGCGAATTAACGTTCCGTATGCAAGATTAATTGATTAGTAGCGTAGAAATTTCTGACTATTTTTCTGCAATGATATTTTTGTATCCATTTGCGAGTAAATTTTGGCAGGAAGTCGATGGCAACTACTGAATGGTTTAATGCAATCAATCAAGCCAGGTCGCGAATTCACGAATGTTGGAACGTGATTAATATCGAAGTCGCATCAATGAATCGGACGGATGTTATCTTTATATAGAGGTGTCACGTATGAAATTTTCCGCGCGTTAAGAGAAGTGTAAAATAAGCGAATGTCACGTACAAGCATGAAATAAACTCGAGCGCGAGACGCACCTCTTGTGAGTCACTCTTTTTCTTCCGATATAATGAATTATCTCGCGCACTTTCGACGCTCGTGGCATCAATAAAGTAAAGTTTCTTATTGATGCGATTTCCTTATTGAATCACGTGTTTACAGCGAACACGAGTTCGCCGCACGGTAGCATGTGCACTTTTCATTATCATGCAATTATCGCTAATTATTTATATACGAGCGTAACGACCGAAATGCGAGCAAAAGTTCCATCACGTCGTGAAACTTCTTTGTATCGACATCGAGAAAGGATCGAGATCATCTTTTTGAGAGTTCATTATATATTCAACATGCGTTTATACTTATATTTAAATCGTCGAGAGAGAGAGAGAGAGAGAGAGAGAGAGAGAGAGAGAGAGAGAGAGAGAGAGAGAGAGAGAGAGAGA